CATCAAATGGATGAAATTTCAGTTTTGATGGAAGACTTTACAATTTCAGCAATGACTTATGCTAAAAACAGGCCCCCACAAGCACGATCACTTAGTGATGAAGGGCAACATGATTACAGGCAGCTGCAGAAACCATCACGAAGGCCATGACAGAATGCTGACCTACCTATCCACCTCCCTCCCTCCCTACTGCACCCATCTGCGGCAAGGGATGTGCTCAGATAAACACTCCTACCACACACTGCACCCTCTGCAAGTTCAGGGATGACACCAAGCTGAGTGGTGCAGGTGATTCACTAGAGGGATGGGATGCTGTCCACAGGGAACTGGGCAGGCTGGAGGCCCATGTGAACCCCATGAAGTTCAACAAGGCCAAGTGCAAGCTCCTGCACCTGGGCTGGGGCAATCCTCAGCACCTGTACAGAGTGGGGATGAATGGATTGAGAGCAACCCAGAGAAGAACATGGGGATACTGGTGGGTGATACAGTAGACATGAGCTGCAAATGTGCACTTGCAGCCCAGAAAGCCAATTGTATCACAGATGAGACAGGAAGGTCAGCTTTCTCATATCAAATGAACCCCCCTGGGGCCAGCACTTGGAGGATGTCCTCTCCCGAGTTCCAGGCACTCACCCTGACACAAAACTACACAAAGCTTGATGGAGTCCTGAAGTACCATCAATTTTCTTCCAGTTTCCCAGAATTTCTGTCACCAGTAAACCCCATTTTACCTTACCTATTTAACCCCCCAACGACTGATGCTGTCCCCAGATTTAGTACCTTCCCTGGGAATGTGGATCTTGCAAGGAAAATGGGGTGAACACACCCAGTACCGGCTGTGTCATATCCCATCACCACGCTCACTAGCTTGGAAACTCACAGAGTCCCACCTGGGTTGCCAAATTGTTACCAAAATGGATTTGCTTGCATTGTTCATCTAGCTTTTGAGTGTGTATACCAGAAAGAGGGCAGGAGAAGTTGGCACCACCTAAAACCCCTCTGCTACTGCCAGCAATAAAGGTGGCTCTCAGCTGGGAGCACAAGCAGGACCCCATGTTACAACTCTTGATTCCTTACAAGCAAGTCTAAAGACTTTTCACATCCTCATTTTTACAATGTCATTGACTTCTGTTGGAAAGTAGAAAATAAATATAGTTTCGTTTTCCTCTGTTTCCTTGTGCAGACTTTGCTTCTTCTCTACTAAACTGCCTTTATCATGAACCACAGGTCCTTTTTTTTCCATCTTATTTTCTGCTTTCCTGTGGTACTGGGGATGGAGGGAGTGGTAGAGCATCAGGATGGGCTTTGAGCCCCATGGTCTAGTGGAAGGTTCCCTGCCAACCCCCCTGGTGGGAGGGTTGGAACTAGATCCCCTTTGAAGGTCCCTTCCAACCCAAACCATTTGATGATTCTGTGATGAAGAAAACTGTGTACACATTACAAGTTACAGCACTGACATGTTCTCTCGCTTCCAAGCCAGCAGCAAGCACTCAATAGTAAGACACATAATTAAGAGTGTATTTGTAGGCAGCAATCATTTCAGGAGCATCAGAACCGGGGTGGGAGGGTCCTTCCCAAAGCACCTGTGCCACAAGCAATTACGGAAATAACAAAATCAAACCTCAGTAACTGTTAAAGGATTCTCACTTGCAATGTGCAACACTAAAATTTGCTATTTAACTCAGCATGGAGTACTGCTGCATGTACAAATACCAACAATAATATCATAAGAGCCAAAACATGAAGAAATCTATTACAGGCAGATGTAAAATTATGCAGAACGTAGAAGCAACAATGAGACATTCAGTGCAAGATGGAAACACAAAGCCCCCCTTGAGACATGATCAGAAACAGAAAACTGAGTTAGAAGAGGCATGCCAAAAAAGTGAGAAGCAGGCCAAAAAAGTGAGAAGCAGGCCAAAAAAGGACGAACCGAAGTAGCTGAGATGAGAGACAGCCAGGCACAAGTGGGACAAAGGAATATTTTATAGCCTCAGTGCAATAACCACTGGTTATTTGGGACAGTAACTATGTGACACATTCAGAACAACATTCATCTTGTTTTCTTTGCAGTACTTAAACCCAACATTTTTGCTTTATTGTTATGAGAAAATACTGCCTGCTCTGAAGAAATGCCACTTGCCTTTCACTCCTTTAGCCATTGGGGAGTTAACCACTGTGTTCCCAGCCTTAGAGACAACCTCAAGTCAAACAACCTGCACATACACCAAAAAGTTTCCAAATCTTCTGTATCTGTTTCCAAATATGCCATGTATTTTGGACACCTCCATCACAAAATGACATTTGGCAAGTATTTAATTTGCTGTTAAAACAGTTCCAATGCTATTTGTGGAGCCAAATCATGTGGCAAGTTCCCATTAAATATCTATACAGACCTGATTCCACAAAAGCTGTGTTCTGGTGTCCTAACTACTGAACCTACTGAGCTGAGGCAGAAAAAATTACAGCCTTTTCATGTGGCTACTCATGACCTTAAGTTTAAGAAGAAACTGGGAGATGTCCCTGTTTCATTTTTTTGCTGACATATTTAGCATTAAGCCTTCTGTATTTGCTGTCTTTGTCGCAATATTCTACTGTTGATGCCAACATTGTAATTAATTTACAGCATGTTATGGACAGTCCCTACTGAAAACTTACACCACCAATTAGTCTTAAAAGCATTCCCAGCCCTTCAGGTGGCCTTTACTGCCACCCGACCATAGCGCTGCACAAACACACACAAAAACCTCCACCGAGCAAAGCGCACGCATGACTAAACCAAATACTCTGTAGTACATTATGAGTGCACTAATGCTCACCAGGTGTACTTGCCAAGTCATCATCTTTCGTAATGAGCTGACCAGGATGTGGTTTAATCACCTTAACTCACCAAACTATCAAAGATAATTTGACGTGGCTGAAGGTGATATTCCATTTTTCTGGAGAGGTTTCAGTCAACTTAGCAGAGGGCCACACCACACCAAGGGTTCAATCTCTTCATCAGTGACATAGACAAAGGGATTGAGTGCACCCTCAGCAGGTTTGCAGATGACACCAGGCTGAGTGGTGCAGTTGACACACCTGAAGGATGGGATGCTATCCAGAGGGACTTGGAAAAGCTGGAGAAGTGGGCCTGTGGAATCTTGTGAGGTTTAACAAGACCAAGTGCAAGGTGCTGCACCTGGGTCAGGGAAACCCCTGGTACCAATCCAGGCTGGGGGCTGAAACAGATGGAGAGCAGCCCTGCTGAGGACTTGGGGGTGCTGGTGGATGAGAGGCTGGACATGAGCCAGCAACGTGAGCTTGCAGCCCAGAAAGCCAAAGGTGTTCTGGGCTGCATCAAAAGCTGTGTGGGCAGCAGGGCGAGGGAGGTGATTCTACCCCTCTACTCTGCTTGGTGAGACCCCACCTGGAGCACTGCATGGGGCTCTGGGGCCCCCAGCACAGAAAGGACATGGACCTGTTGGAGCAAGTCCAGAGAAGGCCACCAGGACGATCAGGGAGATGGAGCACCTCTGCTCAGGAAAGGCTGAGAGAGTTGTGCTCTGCAGCCTGAAGAAGAGATGGCTCCAGGGAGACCTTACTGCAGCCTTCCAGTACAAGAGAGGGCTATGAGAGCTGGAGAGGGACTTTTTACAAGAATATGTGGTGACAAGACAAGAAGGGATGGCGTCAAACTGAAAGAGGGCAGATTTAGATTAGTTATACAGAAGAAATTCTTTACTGTGAGGGTGATGAAGCACTGGAACAGGCTGCCCAGAGAAGCTGTGGATGCCCCATCCCTGGAAGTGTTCAAGGCCAGGTTGGATGGGGCTTTGAGCAACCTGGTCTAGTGGAAGGTGTCCCTGCCCATGGCAGGGGCTTGGAATGAGATGATCTTTAATGTTTCTTCCAACCCAAACCCTTAGTGACAGGTTCCCTAACCAGTATGTTCAAGATTGAAAATTCACCTAGAAGTCGCAGAAACAATTCACGCATGGTGAATTACCATTCAATTGTGAGCTATTTAAATTTTCATCTCTCTTTACTACTTCAGAAAGAAAACACAGGAAAACATGAATAAAAGTGACAGCAAAATATGTCTAGAAGATTCCTAGTTTTAAGCTACATCCATTATAGAACACTTTTATAAAAAGGTACAAAGAATCTAAGTCTCACGGTTTAAGAGAAGATGGGGGAAGAGCACATCATATATGTCTGGAATGTAAACTATTTCCAGTGGAACAAACTACAGGAGAATCTTATCCCTTTTCTGTAGAAACCCAAAGCACGCAGTATCGGTGCTTCAGAAAGCAAAGTGGTGTCACTATCAACTGAATGCACAACAGAAGGAGCCATATGAGGCAGAAACAACACTGCCAGTTTTCACAGCAAAGATCTTCCTTGCAAGGCTTTTACAAAGGATGTGATCTGACTAAACACTCTTCAGTACACATATAAACAACCTTGACAGTTTTTCTCCTCCGTCATCGAAGCACTCTGAAGACAAGACTATAGCTTGTTCTACACCTGCAAAAAATACTTAGCTTTGAAGAAAAAAAAATCTTCTAAGTGAAATATTACTACTTAGATTTTCTTCCTAAAATATATGGAACTATCGACAAATTCTCAGCATCAATATATTTAAGATTTCTAGCTATCCATCTCTGAACAGAAAATTACTATTACTTAAATTACCTAAGAAAATGGCTAATTTCTTGGTTCTAAATGCAACAACATTGAATTTGATACCAAGAAATTTCAAACTGCACATCATAAAGGAAGCCTTCCATCCCACTGGCATTGCAGGCCTCAAAAAAATCACAGGTGTTTCAAACACAAACTGGTGAGGTTTATGATGGAAAGCTACCTCTGAAAGCTGAATTGAAAGCTTGATTTTATACTGGATTCCTCATAATTTGAAATACAAACAATCAGTTAACACAGAAAATGATGCAAGGTTAAGAGTTTAAATGCAGAGATATATATCCATTCTTAAAAGACACACAAAAAGAATTCTTAAAAATGCAATATGAACTTTATTGCATGTATCATGCCATAATCATTTGGAGATACAAGAATAAATACAACAAAACCTTTAAGTTACTAAAGGTGGGACATTATACCTGAATAGAATTGACTGTCAAAGTGTCATAAATCATCTTGGAGATTACCGAACCATTTGACTTCAAATTCCATGACTGACACATTTACCAATGATGACAATGCTGAAGGGCCTATGCATTTTACCTCACCCTGAAACTCCTCTTTTAGTTTTTCTGGTATAAGATCCTGCCCCATAACCTGCAAAAAGAGTAAAAAAAGAAGATTAGAAACAATAAAACAACTTGCAGAAAAAAACCCAGCAAACATGGCATTAATAACAGATCTTTATGAGCAAAGCCCTTGTCACGTGAACCACACACCATCCTGGAGAAGCTCCCAGGTCATGCTCAAGTTGCCTGCCCGTGGAATTCTGCAGTGGACAGGGAGAGCTGAGCCCAAGCCTCACAGCTGCACAACCCCTCCAGGCTTCTGGCTACACTTGCACGGGGTGTGTGGGGGGGCGTTCACTCTGAACAGCAGCGGAAATCTCAGTGCCAACTCTGCATTCAGTGCTCATCTCGCATCAGCATCAACACTGAACTCCTCCTGGGGCGTGTCCGAGCAAAGGGAAGTTTCTTTCCTTCGCCTTTTCCAACCCTGAGATAGCCTGCATGCTACTGCCCTCTCATGGATGCAATCCCACAGACTGACTGCCAGCCCGGCAGTGGCTCGGCTGTCACTAACTAAAGCTGTAATGCTGAGAGCAAAGTTAGAACCTCACTGGCTCCCTTTTATTCCTTAAGATAGAAGTCAGAAGCTCCATAAACAGCACTAAAAATGTTTAATCTCTATGAATAAAATCATGCAATATTACTCTCTTCCTTTATATTTCTTTAAACTAGAAACCAGTACCTCAAACAGAACAAAGAAATGTAAAATATTATCTCTGGCTTTTTCTGAAAATACTTAATACATTTTCTGGAAGTGTTTAATATTGCAGTGGCCATCAAAGTAATCTCCACTTCCATTTCAGACTTGTGATTCACTTTGGGGCATCTAAAATTCCTGAGATAAAATGTGCATCCCAGGAAATGCACAGCAATGACACACCTGCAAATACAGGTCCAGTGAGAAACTTAACAACCCTGAACATTCCTGAAAGGAGAATCTCAGCAGATCAGAGAGACACCCATGACGCAGGCCAGAGCTCTGTAGGCATCCCTATCAGATCCAGGTAACACACTGCCAGCAGCCTACCCCAGCTAATTTCCTTTCTGTCCTGGCACAGTTCAATAGCACAGGGGAGTGTCATGCTTACAGGACAACCAGTCTACACAGAGCTGAGAACTTGCACACAGCAAAACATCCCCTTACCTTGGTCATCAACAGCAAGGAGTTTTCATCAAAACCAAGTTGTGCCACTTTGTCATCAATTTCTTTTTGACCTTTTCTGTTAGTCTCTAGCACAAAGGATGACTGTTGCAACTGGGTAAGCTGAAATAGAAGCCTGGAAAAAGAAAAGCAGTTAAAAATTGGCACGGCTGGCAAAAGAGTAAGTTGGCAGACCTAAAACCAACCAAAACGTAGTACTTTAAAACAGCCATTCCTGACTTTTGCCGACTGCAAAGAAGTAAATACACCTGTATTAACCCACCACAGGTACGGTGTATCTGTGCTATGACAGACCTGCTGAGAACTATTTTTGAAAAACAACATGCCAAGTATCTCTGGTTGCTCTGCACAAACATTTTTCTCCCCATATATTCGTCACACCATTCCAAAATGAGGCTCAGACCTGTGATCATAACGTCCTTACCGCAGCCTAACAAGACAGCAGCACGTTTTTTTTCCTATGCAGTGATTATCTTTGTAACCTGAAAAGCTAGAAATTTGAGGGTTTTAGACAAATATCAAACATCCTCCCCACACAGGCCAAACCTGGAATATTTTCTAAAAGCTTTTGCCACAGTTTATGTTCAAGCAGTGCCCCAGAAGTCACCACCACCATTCAGTGAAGGGTAGACATTGTGCTCACAACACAGCTTCATGTCACGGAGTCCCATCATCAACTGCTCAACCAGAGAGAGCAGTGGCAGTTCGCAGAGCCCTCCTCACACAAGGACTGTGTAAAACATGTCATCAGAGGAAATACTCAGGTATCTGTACGTTTGTCTCACATTTGCCTGTCAGGTGGATTAACAGGTACTGTGCTTATTTTACACTTCTAGGAACATTCAGAGATATTGCATTTCCTGTGAACTCTCTGAAATTCACAATGGGCATTATTGTAGGGATAAATATTAGTTTTAGAGAATTTATTATGGTCCAGAGAAAGGCCACAAAGGTGATCAAAGGACTGGGAAGCCTGCCATTCAAGGAATGGCTGGGAGAACTGGGTTTGTTCAGAACTGAGAAAAGCAGTCTTAGGGGAGACCTTATCACCGTGTTTCAGTATTTAAAGGGTGGCTACAAAGAAAATGGAGACTTCCTTTTTATAAGGAGCCACACGGAAAAAATTAAAGGTAATAGGTATATGTTAATTCCAGAGAGATTCCAACTGGATATGAGAGGAAATTTTTTTTACAATGAGAACAATCAGTCATTGAATAATCTCCTCAGGAATGTTGTGGATTCTCCAGTGTTGGACACTTTTAAGATTCAGCCAGACAGGGTGCTGGGCCATCTTGCCTAGATCGTTTTTGCCAAGAAATGTTGGACTAGATGATCCTTGAGGTCCCTTCCAACTTGGTATTCTATGATTCTACAATATTCAACCAAGGGATCATTGGAACTTAGCTGTGTTATTGCTGAAACCGTGTTTAATTCAAGCTTTATGCATAAAGAACAACAACAAATTTTTTAACACATTTACTGAATTTAAATGAAGCTGGTGTTATAATAATGGTGTGCATTTTTTATGGAGAAGACTCAAGATCTTAGACGAAAACTTTCATTTGAGCATTATAAGCATCAAAATTTACAAATCTGAACCAATGAACCATCTGTAAATTCAGTAAAGTTTTGACTGGGAAATTCAAAGTGAAAATGGAAAGTATTTTTAATTTATAAAATTTTATGTTTCAAAATTTGCATCGAAACAATGTAAAAAAGAATGAAATATCATTAAAAATTAAATAAAACAATTTCTCCAATTCTTTTTCAAAACTAGGAGAGTCAACTATTCACGATGCTTTAAAACAGAACCTTATTTTCTACAAAAAGCAATACTAACATCCCTTTCCCAGGTGCAATTTATCCTGCACATATATTTATGCAACATTTACATCCCACTTAAAATCCAGCAGACCTGAAAATGTTAGACAGCCTATGTAATGCTTAAGCCCTGGGCAGGGAGGAAGCTTACCCTGAACAAGTGTATCTGCAAATACAGTAATACTCTGTGATACTGTGCAGCCAAGCAAGGAAATCCCACCATTTATAACTGGCTCAATCCTGAACCATACACATTGAAACAAGCAACACAAATTATTAATATGAACGTAGCTTTAATATTCAATATCAGTACTAAATCAGTTAACTTCTTCCAAGTAGCAATTAAAGTCTCCATCTCTTAGTCTGAGTACAGTTAAAAGCACGTATTTTTTATATTTCCTAAATCTTGCCCTAACAGGGTAGTTATAAAGTGTTCTCTGTAAACATTTGTGGAAGTTCCTAAGATGCCTTTAAATACATTCAGTGACTAATACATTACTGAGAGGCAAGAGCGGGAACAAAACATCCAAGATTATTTTAACAAAACCAGTTCTTAATTATCTCTTTGAAAGATTATGTTTTGGGGATTTTTGCTGTGTGCAAGAGTTTTAGGATGAGGGGAAAGAAAAGGAAAGAGCATTTTAATGCAGCCCTGTCAATCAGTTGTCAGAGAGTTCATTTTTCAACCTCATCCATTATGCAGATTGGGGTATTATTATGAAATACATTTTCACTCAAGCATGAGGCTTCAAGCAAATAAGACAGGTGGCACTCGCAGAAGGACTGGCTATGCCTTCCCTTTGGGGCACTTCTGCTGCTGCATCTTTAATATCAGACCAGGGATCAGCCATGATCTAACAGGAGCATTTGTTGAAGAACACATCCCTTTGTACATAATTACTTGAAAAGATTCACATTATAAGCTCATTAAAAACTGCTTTATTTCTCAACTGTGCATGACACCGGTTTATTCTTTCCACTCAGATTTAGACTCTTCACAGCTACCACGCTAGTAGGCTTTGCTTTTTAGATCTGCAGCAATAGCAGGGTGCTTCTAAGTTAGTGTTGCCAACTCTGAAACAAACATTTAAACTGATAATGTAAACTGAAAATAATAAGGCTGGGAAAAATATGCTTTACGTTGTTCTCGACTGGGAGAAGTTAACATTATTCTAAGAATACGTATGGTTACCTTGCTCTAATAAACGAGGCACATGCCTTTATCCCAACTTTCTTCGACACGTTCTGCTTCCAGGACTTGGAGTCTGCGCATTTCCCTTCGTCCATCCTTTCCAGTTCTCCCAAAGTGCAGAGGAATTCTTTCACCACTTGGCTGCTGCTACAAGTCACTGCATTCTCCCCCTTTGTTTCTGCAGCAAGGCTGGACCAAGGGCCTTCTTTCTGGCCATCTGATCGGTGAGGCTGCAAATTAATCTCTCTTCCAGTCGGTGTTTTGAAACGACTGTCACTTACACTAACCTCTTCAGAACGATTTAGATTTGTTCCTGGAACGACTAATGGAGACAAATTCTGTAAAAGGCCCATATAAGCTTCAGCAAGAAATTTCCAGAACCAGGGGTTGAAAGGATGTAAGCAGATCAGTTGCTGCAGACACAAGATCTTTTTTTCTACATTTTCCACGCCCTGGTAAATGGAAAACTGCAGGTTGAGAACTGTCGTTAAGTGATCTGTGTTGGTAGCGCTGTTTCTCTAGAAACAAAAGATAACAGATGAAAAACAGGAGTAGAACAGAATCATCCTTCAGAGTCTAAGAAAATGTCTCCCTAAAGACATACAAACACCATAAGGTAATTTTTAAATTGTACAAATGGTGCTCTTAATTTTAAATGATACAATGGGATACAGATCTTGCATGACGGATCTGACAGCATTCCCTCCTTCAGACTGCTTTGTCCCAGTCTGAAGGCAAGAAGGTCCCAAATGCTGTCATTTGTTTATTTGCCTTCAGTGTTATACAGCTGCCTTTCTTTGCAGTATAAATACCTTTTATATAATATAAACGGCATCAGTAAGATTCCACCAGACTTCAGAGCCTCTAGATTTTTTCCTTTATGGGAAAAACTCGATTTGTGCCTAGATACTCTTCTTGGTGGCAGTTTGGCAGCAAGCATATGGAAATAAAAGAGAGTTTTGAACTGTCACTTTTATAGTGGAAAGATTTAAGCACTCATTTATCCCCTTTCTTATAATTCCTATTACATTGCATTAATTCTGCCTGGCAGAGCATGATATTTAGTCCCTTCCAGGACTACCAGCTTCCCTGCACAGGGAGCTCATTGTGGTACAGGGTGTTCTGATTTCTAAAGAGTGATTATATCTGCAATGACAGTTACCCTCTGTTTACCAAATACTCTGAGCATTGAACATCCTAAAGGATTATACAAATGAAAATTATTTTTCCAGAAAATGGTCTGTATAAAAGAACTACTGGCAATGTTTTTAAGTTCAAAGCCTAAAAGAAAGACTGCATTATTTACCATTTTTTCTGCAATACCCAGAGCCTCCTTGTGCCTTCCTAAGTGAGATAAACACCGAGCCTGGCCTTCTTGGACATCTCGTCTCATTGCAATGTTGCCGGGAGGTAAGAGCTGTAGGCAGTTTGAGTATTCACACAGGGCTTTCTGGGATTGTCGACAAGAAGAAAAGCCAAACAAAACAGTGAGAGATTTTCATTTAAAAGCAAGCCTGACAGTATGTTTACAACTACAGTCACAAAGGGAATTCAAGACTTGAAGTCTACATTTTCATTTCTCCAGACTCAGCTACCACCTGTGCCAGCAGCAGACGAGGTCCCAGTACTACACAGCCAAGTCTAGATGGTGAGGAGTAGCCTCAATTCTAACTCATGTTTAGGCTGCAGCAGGATTCACCATACATCTGTCAACCTCTCTCCCACCAGCCTTGATCCAGAAGGGATCATTTACTGACCTGGGTAATATGTGACACGAGGCATCTTTCTACCAGCTACCAACACAATGATCTGAGCACTCATCCTAAATCTGGGGGATCTTGTTTCAAATCCGACATTCTCCATGGGAAGGTTTGAACCTGCAAGGACCTCACCTCACACAATCAGTAAGTCAGAGAATACAGCAAGGAAGTTGAATCTCCATCATTCCTGTAGGGTGGTTCTCACATGCATGAAATAAATATTAATTGGGCTAAGGAAAAAGACAAGAATGAGTAATACTGCTGTAGCTTAATGCTCAGGGCACTCACTGGCACTCCAATTAACATTTAAATACATTAAATTAAGTATTCAGTGATGCTAACTCTAGAATCTTGATTCCTCCCCCGTTGTGTAAATGCTCAGATGAGAAGATTAAAGAGCAGTGCTCATTCTCCTATCTCTCAAAATGAATATTTAATTATTTCCTGCAAACTTTAATGGCTCCAACAGAAAAAGCTTTCAGGAGACATACCCTAAATACTTCCTAGCAAAATGGCTGAAACATTTTTCTTCCCTGGTGTTAAGCTCACATTCTCTCTCAAGCAAAAGAGGGAGCTCTTTGCCCAGTGTGTGCAGCAGCCACTGGTGAAAATAGATCAGAGGGCTGAGGACAACCCTGTTTGCCTTGTTACCTGACAAAGGGATATAACCTGGCAAGGATCAGGCATTATGAATCCCAAACAAATTCTACAGTCCTAAAGATGGGCACAGCTTAGATCACTGCTGTCCTTGGCATTTCCTACCAAGTAGCCTAGCCTGAAGTAAAAAAGTATTCACAAAAGTGAAGAGATTACTGCCCCCATTTATATATTTCCAGCCCCCTTTCTAAGGCCAGTGCTTTCAAATCTTTAATTTTATGTGCAGTCGAGTTCTGGTTCTTGTTCTGCCACAGTGATCTAGGTTAGCAGTAAGACCAAAGGCATTTTTAACATGGATTACTGCAACAAAAAAGAGTCTGTTCCATTTAGCAGATTTGAAGAGGTGTCATTCTTTCCTGAGAGGGAAACACAGCACACAAGAAGAAATCTGCTCTTCCTGAGGGTCACTAGGCACGTCCAACTGCAACCTGAGGCATCTCTCCCCTCAGCACACTTCTATCAATCCCTTCAGGGCATCTCAGCTGAGAGTGGAAAACATCTCTCAGGTATACAATAGACTGCAGTATTGCTGGAATAACATTATGGTCAGCGTGGTCAGTGCCAACTGAGGTACTAAAAGATCCAAAAATCCAATGGGCAAGGCAAAAGGAGTAGAGTCAGAAGTCAGCTGAGGCTTTGAAATCAGGGAGCCTGAAATGCAAACCGTAGGCTGAAACAGGAAGCTATTACAGCTGAAACACGGGCAGGAGCCGCTAATTTCAACAAGGAAACAAGGTAACCAGAGACCGGATCCTGCAAATAGGACTGCAAACGGCGGGGAAGCATGGATGATGAGGAATGCGGCACGAAGTACCCAGTGAGGAGAGGTCTAGGACTACAGCAGGCAGGAACAGCAGCGGGCACCATCAGTGCACGGCAAAGGCACAAGCAGCCATCCGGAGCGGGCGGAGGCAGCAGAGAGCCGGGACGATCAATGATGGGGCCGACACTACTACTACCTGACAGCGATCCGACAGCCTGTGTGGGACATGGTATCATCCCCAGGAGCTGAGAAACCCACACGCCAAGCTCTGTCTGACCACGACTCCCACGGCCGCAAACACCCTCTCCGCTCACGCTGAGCTGCTCAGACGCGCACGCCGGGCTGGGATCAGTTCCGGGGCAGCGTAGATTCCTGCATGGTTTGCTCGTGCTGGCTCCAGGATGGATGGAATCCGACCGGGGGCTGCCGTCCTTTCACCACGACCCAGGAGCCACCGAGCCGGACTAACCACGGCACAGCCCCCGGAGCCGCGGGCCGCGATACATCCCGCACATTCACACCGGCTCAGCGCGCCAGGGGCTGCAGGACCGCCCCGGGATATGTCCCCACAACATCCCCCCGGCCCCCGCCCTGGGAATACCTCAAAGTCCCGCCGCCGGTACGCCCAGTCCGCCCGGAACTTGCTGCCCGTGACCCCGTCGGCGCCATCCCCGTCCCCGCCGTCCTCGCTGAGAAACCACTGCGGGCACACAGAGCACACGCGGGCCCGTCACGGGCTGCGCCGCGCCCGCCCCGCCCGCCCGCGCTGCTCCCGCCGCCCCGGCCCCTCACCTGGGGCTCGCAGTGCCTGGCGCCGCTGGGAGCCACGGCCCCGCCGCCCGAGAGCCGCTCCCGGCTCGGGGAGAACAGGGAATCCTCGAACTGCGGGCCCAGCTCCATCGCTGCCGCTCCCAGCGCGCCCTCCGCCGGCCCCGCGCCGGGTCAGGGGGAGGAGATCGGCCAGCGGGCACTGTGAGGGGAGGGCTGTGAGGTCGTGTAATAAATAGAGATCGGCCAGCGAGCACTGTGAGGGGAGAGCTGTAAGATCACGTTATAAATAGCTGAACCGGAGCCCCGTGTGCTTCAATAAATTAACTGCGTGACTGTAGAGTTGCTCCGTGAGTATCTCAGCCCCCGTGCCAGTGCAGGGGTGAGGGGGAGTGTGTTTTGATAACTTCTCCACTTGGTTTCAGTTCTGCCCCAAAGCAGAAGGGGAAACTTGTGTGAACCTGCTCTAGGTGACTGTCCTTCAGAGCTGGACTAGATCTCCAGAGGCTCCTTCCAACCCTAACAGTTTGGTGATTTTGTGAAATCTTAGGCTTTCCACAACAGGCTTTCCCAGAGGCCCCTACCCTGTGCTATGGGAGATGGGGACATGACCAAGGGAAGACTGATCCTAGACCTTCAGGATGTCAAGACTCAGGCACAGGGCTGCTCATTGAGGGTGCCCAGGTGAGGCTGTACCTGTCCCAGCTGTCTGCCCTGCCTCATGGTGCTGCCATGCACACAGTGCTGTTTTAAGTGTAGTACAATGCTGTTTCCTCTCTCTACCTTGCCTGTCCATCCATCCAGGAAGGTCCATTTTATCTCATCTAATCACCACACAGGTTTGGAGGTGGTCAGCTGAAAAGTTCTTCCTTAACCTGCAAAGTGGACTAATGAACTTCTCTGTACTAGAACAGCTTTTGAGGCCAAAGCACTGCTTGTATGGATAATTGTAAAGGTTTCCTTCTAGTAGACATGTAAAACGTGTTCTGGGGTTGTTAGGGTTTTTTTTCTTTCTTTCTATGTGCTTGAAATACCCTTGCATACCAGCATAGCTATGACTGAATATAGCATGACCTGACGTAAATACCAGGGTAGAAACTCAACTTTGGCAGGTGGATTTGCTCAGAAAAATAAATGCAGGTTGAAGTTTCTTTTGCTTTTAAACTTACTGTTTAGCAAACAAGCTCTCAGGGACACAGGAAACTGTTCAGCAAGTCTGGAAAGAATAAGAAGTTTACTTGACATGCTTCAGTCTTTCTGCTACAAGTATCAAGGTAGTTGAGGACAGAGCTGCTTGTATGTGCACACCAAAACCAGCTGGCTTCCTGCTGCCCACAGGCAAGGACTGGCAGAGCACACAGGAGTCAGACTGTGGAGGTTTGCACAAGTGTCTGAACAGTTACAGCGCCTGTAGGTCTCACATACACTGGATACACACATTCCTTTCCCACTACCCCAGGACTGCAGGTCACGCTGCAACACACCAGTATAATGAACAAGGCACAAAAATCCAGAAAGACAAACAAGAATAAATCAAAAAGAAAAACTAAAAAAGAAACATGAGTAATCAAAGTGAAATGTGGCCCCAGCTCAAAGTAAAACACAAAGAGCAAGGCACTCCCAGGGGCAAATCCCACAGCAGCTAGTTGGCTGCCAGCTTGGATTGCAGAGTCCTCCAGGGCTGGGGGTTTCAGCCATCATTTCTTCTGAGGATAAAACGTGGTCTGCAAAGGCTCTGTGTTGCAATGCAGAGAATGCCTTTGTCTGGTAAGTCAGTGATAGGAGAGCCATGATTCCTGAGTGCCACACAGGGGGCCTAGCAGCTGACTGTCATAAGTCACAGGCATAATATTGCCTCTCCTTTTCTCCCTTGCCTGGCTCTCCCCTGCCCCCGCCTCCCCTCAAGACATTTAAAAAGCTCCTCATGTATTAGTTACAGAAATAAAAAAATGCAACTTTAGGACATTCCTCTGCCTTGTCAGCACTGGAGATTTGCTCAGTTTCTCCCCTAAGACCCAAGTCATCAGTGTAGCTGCCAAATACAAATTCTCACTGTACTTAAGTAAAGCCGTTTGCCTGAGTTTGCATGGCATGATTTGCCATGGTGCTGTTAGCCTTGGCTTCATGCAGGAGAAAACATCATCCCTGGGAGAGGCAGCTTTGAGGGGGCTCAGATACACGAGCCCTACAACAGTCTGTGCTGCTGCAGCTGTTCTGTGTAGGCAGCTTCAGGAATAAAAAGAAGCTGTAGATGAATCTCTTCCTAAAAAGACAGCCAAGGTCTTACTCCAACCCCAGGCTAAACCACCAGCTCGGCACACGAACGCTGGACCAGTAAAACAAATGGGTTCCAGTAAGTTGTGGTCTCCAGCAAGTTCCTGCATCAGCAAAGCTATCTGTTGTGGCTGTTCACACAAGCGTGCCTCGTGATGGCAGCAGCGAGGGGCTGTGACCCAGCTTCAGCCTCGGTGAACAGGGGCAGGCGACCGTGCTTCATCTTGCAGTCAGGGTGAGCCCAGAGACAGCCCAGGCGGTGGAGACAACTCCAGTGATAGGCAGGAATTTGTCACGCTGTCCTATTGCCCAAGTCTTCTGGCCAGGGAAAGATAACAGAGCATGGAAGACGGAGTTTGCGTAAAGCCCCTCTTCACCCTGCTTCCCAGTCTACTGTGAGGAAACATTAATTCAGAAGAATTGTCCTCCAGTGCTTCTTTAATTACTGATGATATTATTTGTACTGTGATAGCCTCCATGGGTCCTCACCACAGCCCAGCCACTCCTGTGCCAGGAGAACACACATCACACACGTTTCAGAGACCATCAAGCACACATGGTAGAAAAAAGAAACCTCATTCAGCAACTAGGGCCCTGTCTTGGTAGGCACTACCTACACACACTGGCTAGGGAATAATGCAGCTCTCGTATGGTTTATAGCTTTATTAAAATATGCTAGAAAGGAGCTGCCTTTGGAAGAAAGCAAAAGAGAGACTAGTTCCCTTCTCAAAGCAAGAGCGCTGCCTGTAGTGAGGAGGGCAGTAAGACCAACAGGCAGCATTCCTCAAAGGATGGGGCGGCTCCTGAATCCTTAAGTGGATTCTTCCAGACATTGTGAAATATTCCTACCTTGAGGGAAGATTAGTTTTCAATAGTCACAACACAGGCTTTTCCCTAAACACACTCATGAAAAGAGAAGAGGAGTAGCTCTTTATTTGCTGACATTGTCTCACTGTGTCCTTGTCTCACTGTGTCATGCCTTTTATTTAGATGGCAAGTTCTTTATAGCTTCATCTTCTTTGCATGATGTCACACATAAGGGGTTATTGTCCACGACTAACTGGGAGAGTAATACAAATAACAACATTTCATGGCTGGGGGCAAACAGAGATTATCACTATTAAAAACTACAAACAAAACTGCAGTTAAAGCTCCCATGAACTCTAGCACATCTTACTATGATGGTAGTGAGTTCTAGTAAGACACAACAAAAATTGAGTGGGGAGGTGAGGGGCTGTGCATCATGGAAACCAAAGAGTACAAACTGTTGTTAAAAGAAGCCAAAAGCTTTTTAGAGATCCTTAGGACAGACAAGAGAAGACGAATCTCCCAAAAGATGGTTCATTTGCCTTCTCTACCTTAAGGCAGTACAACCTTTCAAATCCTTGGCAAGCTATATTAACTAGGCCATAATCCTTCCCCCTCGGGCCTAACAAAACCCAATAAAGTTGTTATTGCCAAAAGGATGCTCAGCACACAGATGTGTTTAGCTATTAACAGGCTTTGCAACTATTTTCTGTCTAGTGAAATAAATGGTGAACAGAATGAGCATGCCTGGAGTTTGACCAGAAAGCTGATGAAAAGTGGAAAAAAGTTTTCTGGAAAGACAGAAAGAATGTGGTGATCAAATGCTAGAACGAATCCTAGAGCAGGGATCTTCCTGTGCAAGCCTACACATTTCCAGTACTGACATGACCATGTGTCTTGTCTGAACTGCTTCACTCAGCCATGTTGTACAAGCACTAAGCTTGTACCTTGACGGTCTGTGGATACAAGGTGGATGCCAAAGTCATGGCAAAGGCTGGTATCTCCAATCTACTGATCTAACTGGAGAAAAAAACAAAAGACCAGTGGTAAGACCCATAGGAATGGCTTGAAGTTATGTCAGGAGAGGTTTAGGTTGGATATTAGAAAAGGTGATTCACCCAGAGGGTGGTTGGGCACTGGAACAGGCTCCCCACGGAAGTGGTCACAGCACCAAGCCTGACAGAGTTCAAGAAGCATTTGGACAATGCTCTCAGGCACATGGTGTGACTCTTGGGGATGTCCTGTGCAAGGCTAGGATTTGGACTCAATGATCTGTGTGGGTCTGTGGTGGTTTGGGCTAGGCCTTCCTTGGTGACCAGTTTGTAACCAAGGAAGGGTCCAGATTTACCCAGTATTCCCTACGATTTTTATGTAAGCCAGGCTATAAGAAGAAAGGAGGAGAGGCCTTCGCCCTCTTTCCTTCCGGCGGCTTGGAGGTGTAGGTTCCCTGCTGTTGAGTCTGTCGTGTTAGGGAGCGAGGCCTGGTAAGGCCTTGCCGACCTTGGGAGACGGAGGTTGCCGGCGATCATTCCGGAGCGACTCTCCGTTGTCCCAAGGAGAGTAGTGAGCTATTTCTTTGCTAACTCTTTTAGTGGATAGATATTGGGCTGCTAATTGGGATATATATATATATTATTTTGGTTTTGTTCCTTTTCCCTTCCCCCTTCCCGTTCCCTTGTGAAATTGTATATATATTTCAATTGTATATACCTGTAACATAAGTGTAAATATATTTATATATATCACTTTAGCTGTCTCTCTCTCGTTTCGGGTTTTCTTAGTTGTTTTTCTCCCTCTTCTCCCTGAGGTTTGGGGTGGGGGGGGGACTTCTTGTGGTAAGGTTTGGAGACTTGGCAGGGAGCCAGCTTCAAACCGTATCAGGGTTCCTTCCAAGTCAGCATATTCTATGATTCTGTGATTCTATGACTCTCTGTTGGGCATGGTGAAGTTTGTATGCCTTCTTCTGTGCCCTTTTTTCAGTTTTATCAGTTTTTCTGAAAACTCATTAACTTGCCCTGGCCACCATTATGCTGGTTGCTTAATTGCTACTTGTGATGAAACCAGGCCACAGAGACCACAGTGGATTCATTACCTCTCTAGGTTAAAACTTTACTCCTGTGGTTTTCAAGACTGGGCAGAACTAAGTACCACTGGTGGTAAATCCTAGGACACCATTTAAGACTTCTATTGTAACAACATCAAATAAACTGAGCTGACTTCCTACAATATTGCTGTGTTGCAGCAACAAAGAGAAACTATTCAAAAGAACTAGAAAAAAATATGCTATACTGAAGAAATAGACCCAGAGCTTCAGGACTGGCCTTCAGTGACCCTCACAATTCACGGGCTTTTTCTGTTCCACTCTCCTTTTCCATAGGGAGGCTGCCTCCACAAGGGAAACCACCATACTGTTCATTCTCCACTGCCTCATTTCCCATGCAGCTTTTGCACTCTGGAGAGGACTAGTGGAAAGAAACTGCTATTAAATTCAGCTTCTACAGCTTCACATTTGCCTTATAGAAGTATCAGTGCCTGCAGAAAATGTGAGGTGCAGCAGAGGGAAAGCACAGCTCAACGAACACATGCAAACAAAATGCAGAAATCCAGAATGGACTTTGCCCACAACTGCTCCCTTCCCCCAATTATTGCACTTGAAATGAATTTAGAGCAAAGAAAACCATAAAACATACATCGATGATGCAGTTTTTAACTCTGTGGTGTCACTAAGAAAAGAGCCACTTCCATCACAGGGCTTCTGTGGGCCTCCATTTCTGCACTTTGGGGGTGCCGGGTGTGATGCCTGCACAGAAATCCATGCAGCTGGATTTCATCTGGAACCTCTGGCCAGCTGCTGGAAACAAACTTCAGAATTGAGAGCAGTTACAATTGCAATACTATTTGTACCATCTCCTTCGGTTCAAAACACATCACTATTAGAGGCTATTTGTTGGCCCTCTTCCATGTTAGCCCCTTAAGACAGGCTTCACTGAAATTATGTTTTTTCCACTCTTTGGCTTTCATTTAGGAAAACTGAAAATCACTAAGAGCAGAATTACTGCCAACACTGACCCTTATTTTCACCCAAAGGCACAAATCAACTAGGTGTGACATACACTTTCATTCCCTTGTTCCGTCCTTTCTTCTACCAAATATTTTAAGATAATGAAGATCAGCTCAGCACTGAGCCTGTGAAGAAACGCACATGGGAGAGGAATTAGTCATAATGATTATAGTTCAGCATTATAGCAGTAGAAACATATATTGAAATGTTTCATTTTACAGTATTTTAAGTGCAACAAGTCATTTAACCACCAAAATGTTAGAAACCACCATGTGAGACTGAAGACCACCACCAGCAATATTTCAAAGCAACGCCAAGCCCACAGGGAACAATTTATAGAGGGGACTTTTTGGCATTCAAAGGAAAACAAAGCAGTGAACAAAGCAGCTCGGTATTTTAAATTCGTAAAAATAGTAGTTGACAGTATTGTTATGAAAACAAATGCAAGATGAAAGAGGCTGGGAAGAGGAGGCTGAGAGAGGGGAAACAACCCACAGGGCCAGCTGGTCTCTTGTGAAAGTATCTACTGAACTGCAATATTCTGGAATGGCTGGTAACACTATAAATGAAAAGGTAACTTTTACAAAACGGTGACTGCATACATAACCTGGAGCTTCTCATAACTCCCTCATTAGTTGATGGATTCTTGAATAAGCTTTCTTTTGTTTTTACCAAACTGAGTAAAACTATGTGGCCAAGCACAAAGCTGTACTGACTACTTGTGCTCAAAGCAGTGTGTGTAGGTCACCGTTTCAGCTCGGGATGTAATGTTTCACACTAACGTGAGCTACAGCACAGGAACCACTCTATGGCTTTAAACATCTTTGGGGGGGATAGGTCTGTAGGCACAATGCCAGGTCCTGCTGGAAAAACTAGATCTTGAGCCCCTCCAGCTGCAGCATAGCACTTGAAGGAGATGGGTGTGATGAGTCACCCAGTGCAGAACACACAGCACTGCCTCTGGCAGGGAGCTGTGAGCGACGGCAATGGCAGAAATGCAGAGTTCGACAGCAGCTCTTACCTCAGACCCTCCTTCTCTGAGGACAAGGCACATGTCAGAGTAGCCACAAAGCATCATGTCCAACCGACAGGGACTTCAGTGAGGAGGGGGTTCCTACTCACCCCAACTCTTCCCACCCCAAATATTTAAAATGCCATAATAAAGACAATCTGCCTTAATGAGAAAAATCCCATGAACGTCCCTGGGCTGCTGACATGGCAGAACACTTCAGCAATGAGCAGCTGTACTGACTCACACATGAAGCTGACCTCACACTGGCTGTTCAGCCAAGCCAGTTCTCTAAATTCAATGCATCTGAGGAATTGGTGAAATTCAGTTTTTGTATAACAAGAAAAAAGATATTCGAGAAGATTTGGTCTGTGACATGTTCATACAGACAATCATGATTCCTGGTTTTCACACCACCTCTTAAAACCACACACACTCAGTAAGGAGATATTTATTCCATTATTTCTGTTTTCAAATTTTTGGTACAAAGTTTATTTTCGGAAGTTCTCACATGATCCTTTCTTCTACTAGCGTCTTTTAGGATTTTTCTATCTCTGATTTATTTTCTTTATCTGTTGAAGCAAAAGCAATAATTGCTACAGAAAGCAATAATGGCAATATTACAAATATTTTACAGCAGCATCCATTCGTTTCTTTGCCTCAAAAAAATAACAAAAATAAATCCAAAGACAAGATCCATTCGGCCACAAAGGCTTAGGTTTTTGATATCCAGAAGTATGCTGCGTTCCCATATATGAGTTGTACAAGTCCAGCACAACCTTCCAAGTTTGTGCAGAGCCTGATAAATAAGACACAGAAATATCAGTTACATTATACTGTTTCTAAGAACTTTTACTCTGTAAAATGTTTGGTCACTCAAAGCTATAAGCTTAATCACATATCAAAGAACACAGGCAATAAAGCCCATCTTACTAGAACATATAGTATTAGGCCAAACAAAATATAAGAGGACAAAATCTAGTGGTCACTGAAGCCTCTTCAAAAAAGGTCTAAAACAGAATGTTTCCATCATGTATCAGAATAAAAACGTACTGTATTAAAATTTGATTTTTTTTTTTTACAAGCTGTCTTTTAATCAGTCTTCTATTTACAGTGCAGAACTGCCAATTGCAGTAGTTTAACTTTGGCACAACACTAAGTTCCAATCCTTTTGAGTATTCAAGTCCTGTGTGTGTCCAAAAATTTTCTTGGTTTCACGAAAGATTAGGCCCATTCACAGTTAACCAGTTATCTTGAAATTTTTCAAGAATTGCTTCCCCTTCACCACATTGGGCAGCTACAAAGGAAAGACACTGTAAGCTATTGCATCACTCAAAAGAAACTCTTCATTCTAAACAGTGACAGTATTGTTGCTTCCTTTAACATCACATACACCAGACAGATCACACAGACAGCTACATACTGGACACCTTTCTAAAAACCTTGCTGGTCGTTAGTGAATCATCTTCCTCATACTTCAAATACATAACAATGCATTAACTTAATTTCATTTCACATGTCAAACAGGACATTTAAATATATTGCAATATATTATAGAAAATTGCAAAGCGCCATCATTTCTGTAAACGAGACTGACACCTGTTAACTCTCCTGTGCACATGAAGAGCAGTACCTAGTGCCACATTTTCTATACAATATAAAGCCTTCCCAGGTAGGGCAACTCATTTTAGTGCATTTCTGTACAGACTGTAAGCACACATGCAGATAGCCAACTATGCAGGGTTGGAAATACTTTTGTAAGCTGAAACTTGGAGGGTGGGGGCACCATTCCAAAATCATAGCAGAGCTGTTGTGGTTCATTGTTTTGTAGCATAGATGAAGACTTGAATCTTCTGTTGTTCTAGCAGACTCTTTATGGAGAGTTTCCTGATAGGTATCTAGTATTGAATAAGCATAAGGAAATACTTTCATCAACTGGGACACAAATATTATGTGTCCTAACACATTCTAAGTTATGCACAGTCCAATGTTCACATGGTAACCTCATCTCTAAAATACTTGAGAAAACCCAAAGCATTTTTATGCCACAGTATTATAACCAAGGATCAGTTACATTACCCATCACTGTAGTGCCTACCTGCTCTAGAATAAAAAGAAAAAAAGAAAAAGGAAAAAAAAAAAGGCCTCACTTCCCAACAAGCATCAGGTTGGAAGCAGAGGTAAGTACCATTGCCAACCACAACACAAAGCTCAGTGCTGCAATCCAGAAAGAAGATCCATCTCACCTCATGACAGGTGTCTGTAGTGTCAGTGGCTGCCCGCAAGCCACGTGTAAGTCAGGGGAGCCAGGGAGCAGGCTTGGCATCGACCGATGCCAGGCACCAGGATGAGCAGGTTTGCATTCCTTGGCTGTATTTGCCCCAATGCAAACATCAACATGCAATCAGAATCCCTCCTAAATTCAAGAAAAGTGCTATGGGATCCTCAGTTATCACTCTATGTTTTACAATGTAGTATGACTCAGTTTTGCAATGACTGTCCACTGAAAAAGTGCAGATGTTCTTCACAGAAAGAGAAAACTCCCCCAAGAGCTCCAACCATTAAACTTACAAATACTGGCTATAACCCACCTGTGCTTCAAAATCTCCCTTTTTAGAAGTGGGGAAACAATGCAGAAATTTGATCTATTGTGTGTAAGTAGCTACTGAGGGGATTTTTCACTTTCTGTGGCAAGTTCCATTTCAAAATATTTTCCTATGGAATACATCACCAAACCTCAAGTAACTTCACCTGTAAGTTTGTGTCATGCTGCTGGGTAAATCTACTTATCCTAGGATATCACAAGCTTAATGGAGAATACAGGTGTAACCCAGCACTGTTCAGTGTAGGGAACTGAGCCCTCTACTAGCTCTTTCTATCTCTAACTTACACAGTCATTCCAGGCATTATAAGCAACTCCCAACAGTTTTACTGCTCTCCGGTCATTGATACTATCTTTCCATTACTACTGAATGCAAGCAAAAATATTTTCAAAGAAAAAAATAAATTAAATCAAAGAAAGTAGCTGTAGTCCATTGCACTCTATTTTAGTGCCTTCAGGTTAGGGCAGGGATATTTAACACTACAGAAGCTTAAAGATTATCTTCTCTCCTTGGGAGATATGAATATAGACAGATATGGGACTCAGGTGGAGGATGCAAATTGGTACTATCATATTTACAGAAGCAAATACTGATATCCAGCCTGAATACACAGTACTCCATTAAGTGCAAAAGGGAAAATGCTCCCCACCTTAAATACAGCCTCGTTACTCAGCAGCCAGAGACTGACTAGTTGTCAGTTACTGCTGTGCTCTCATTTCAGAGGAAAACGGAGGAGGAGAGTGTCTGCATCTTTGGGCTTTCTGGCCTACGGGGACTGCATAAGGCCATGAATCACTTTGTATGGGATCCAGAAATGCTTTCTCGGCTCTGTGGAGGAGAAGGGAGTGCATTTTCCTGCCTCCAGACTTCGTTGGTGAACAAAAAAAAAAATCAGCTTTTGTCCAAAGTCAGCAAATCATGCATCAGGAAATTATTTCACGTAATGTGTGGACATTGCATGAGTTTCCTTCCCAATAATCAAAGTTATACTCAGACACCATATTACATATAATGTAATGAAAAAAACACTTTCAAAATTGTTCTGGAAAAGGTTAAAAAAGGGAATGGCCTAATTTACTATAGCATATTAGAGATAATACACTAAATTCTAATCATTAGGTACTAGATACCTTTTCCTCTCCTTTACTTTCAAGCAAAGCAGATAATTCTGTGTGCTAAAAATTAGTGATTGAAATAATTTACTCTTTCTGTCAGAACACTTCTTACAAGCCAGCACTGTTAGATCATTCAAACCTTCAGGGAGGAATAGGTCTGACTTTATTTTTACAACACTAATTCTGGGGTCATTGAGAGGCTGACACTGGGAAGACAGCGCTGTTTACGATGGAACCGTGCTCTTTCACTGCACTCAGAAGCAAGCCCAAAACATGCCAGGAAGGAGGACAGTACTGGGATGTCTCACCCAGTTGTGACACTGCTTTCTTTCTTTTAGCTCTTTTCCCTCTCCATTCTGGCTCAGGATTATCTGTATTCTCTCTTTAGCTCAATTCCAGAGACAGCACAAGTAGCATCATCAGAGCAGGTACTCCTGGCAGAAACAGCACATGAAGAGGAAAGCACTAGCTTAGCTCTACAGGAACTGATGCTCACAACTGAATTCTGAAAGAGTGGTCCCAACAAATACTGAGAAACCAGCCACCCAGACGTAAGATCTAAGCAAGATCAGAGTTTCTTCATCTCATTGTCAATGACAATCACTGAAGCCTGGCTCATAATGAGCTCAAACCTAAGAGGTGAAGCTCCACAGAAATACAGAAAACATACCACAGTTCATCTAGACACAGTCCTTTACCAGCCAAGAAAATCAACAAAAGCCACATGGGCAGTCGTCCCTGGACAGATGTATTTTCTTGCCTCCTCCCTTCCCACTGTCAATATAGTTCAGTCCAAGTGGCTTCCAAAACACCTTATAGGTGTGCATAAGCTACAAGAGGAAGCTGGGCTTGCAGGGGTGTACTACTTATGAGCACAGCAGTGCTCAGATTCATAATAAATTAAGTCACTTGCTGATGTGCTAAGTTCAGGAAGTTTCCTGCATGTAACTAATAGAATGAGAAGGTGCCATATCCTTTCCACCCACCAGGCAATTTCTGTTTATCTCAGGTGACTGTATAGTGTGCCCTGGGCCCCCAGGTAAGGAGCACAGCAGCCTGAGGTTGGCTGAGACGAATCTCGGCTAAACCACTGCTACCAGTAGCCTTGAGTTCCTACCACAAATCAAGATACAACTGACCAGCATGCTGACAGCTCTTTCCAATGCTTCTCCTGTCAGGTCTGACCTGGGAGGCCTCCAGAAGGAGTTTCCCTCTCTCCCAGCATGCAGTGAAAATACAGACATGCTGTAAACACGAAATAAACTGGTAATTAACGGACTCTGCTTGTTCAAACAAATAACAGTCAGACTGTCAGCAATAATGAATGCATATGACTTCTGTTTTCAGGCTGAACCCACCCAGATTCTCCTCATCCTTAGCACAACTAAAAGGCTTAAAATGTGCAGGCAGCACAAAGGAAACATGGGGACTCTGCATCTCTCATTAGCTGATCCACAGCACATGGATTAATTTAAATTTTATGTTCTGCAAAGAGACAGTTTTGTCACCGGGCTGTAAATACTACTATAACCAGTGGAATACACGGAACTCTAATATTTACAACAACTGAAAATTTGGCCCAGTGTACATCAGCCACCGCCTCTGACCACTTTACTGAAAGAAGACCTCCAATCCAACTATATTTAGTCTGATAAACAATGTATTTCCTCTTCCTGTGTTTTTGAGACCAGATGTGCTAAGGCCTACCATTGTAGCTGACAATTATTTCACAGAACAGTGCCAAAATAGAAAATATCCCAGTTTAATCATGTAATTACTCGGATCTCTATTTTGTCCCATTTTTAAAGAAGGTAAGATTCCCAGCTAACCTAAATGCAGTCCCTGCTAACAAAAATGGAGATATTTATTTGGACGCATTGCTTGGTTGTTGTTTGGGGGTTTGGTGGAGTTTTTTTGAAAGAAAATTAATTCTGGGTCAACCTTAAGGATTAAGGCAACTGCAGATTTTGCTTGCTAGAGGCATATTCCCAAGGATTTGTTTTAATGTTTTTGGAAACTTAAAAATAGCATCTATTTTAATTCCAGTTTTTTCCTTTCCTACTCAGCAAGCACAGATTCTTGACCCTGTATTCCCAGTAGAACTTTAAGCCAGTGTGAGTCTTATATCTGCTGGCATCAACAACAGCCTCATCCATACCACTACCCGCCAAACAAGAATCCCTCCCAACCACATGCAGCAGTCAATGCTGAAAAGGCCAGATCCTGATCTCTCTTGCACCACCTCCCATCCAGAGTCATAAACGCTCCACGAAATATGATGACAGCATGAGTTTGCTCCTCCCCCACCCCAATGGAGGGGATTCTTGGCTAGTCCTCTTTAGCATCACTGACTGCTTTGTGCCTCACCAACTTGAGTCTTGGAAGCCAGGGAATAGTTTTCATCATCACACTCATGACGGACACCATAAGCTATTGCCTTTTTCTCTCCAGTAATCTGAAGCAGTCAGAAGAGCTCACTCCAGCAAATGATCTTCATACAGAACATCCTCCTGCAGCTCAGAGAGCTTGTTCAATCTGTAAGAAGGGCAGCTACAAGTGTTCAGAGAGGAAGGTGAGCCTGGGAGGTTAACAATATTTTTTGTCAGACATCATTCCCTTTCTTGCTTTGACTTGGGCTTCACTCACAATCAAGTATGAAAACCAGATGTAACACGGACTCCTCTGCTTCAGAAAATCATGACTAAAAGGGTTTTCTTGGTCTTTTCACAGTATGGGAGAAAGAATAATTCTAGAATAGGTTCTTGGAGATGGGGAAACATTAGGACACATTTTCTCTACACTAATCTGTTCTCAGTCACCAGATGCAGAAGCCTACAGAGAAGATGCTGACAGATGTGCAAAAGGAGACTGCTAGTATCCTTTCCATTAGTGCCAATGTAAAAAGCAGACAATGCCGGTGGCAGCAGCACCAATTCATCATCATCTTTTGACATCTAAATATAAAGTAACTTATCCCTAAAACTGCAGGCTCGCAGTAGCAAGAACACAAACTACTCTTCCTCAGAGTACCCCTTCTCTAGGATGCCAAACATCTGCCTAAACTAACTTGTGTGAATTTGGCCCACTGCTTTTAAGTTGATAATTCAAACGTACTATGATGCAACTGTCTTGAGACCAAATGTTTTTTTTTTCTATTTTAAATACACTTATTCAAGATGTAGATGTTTTGTATCAGATTAAACTACTACTGGAGTCTAGTTCAGGTAGCTCAAACCACCTCTAAAAATAAGTGCGTTCACCCAGCAGTGCTAAGAGCAATGAGCACAGTGGAGAGTTCAACAATTAGGATAAAGTACAGTTAAACCCGCACACAAATCACTCAACTCGGCTATCGCTGAAGAACAATTCAACACTAGTGTGTTTATAATTCCTAAGCATCTAACAGCCATATAACTTCATTTTGTTTGAGAATTAAACACCATGTCATTGCCACAACTTACTTGAAAACCTTTCTTACTAACACCAAAAGATGCCTTTCATCTCTGTATCTGTGTACTTTTACAAACCCCTAAGCAACTGTGAATGACTTCTAGGCAGTTTCCAGCTCATGTTTACCTTAAAACTCAGTGTAAGATTTCAAGAAATTATTCTTTTTAGCTAGAAATATACATACTTCTCTTACCATTTCCAATGAAGGAAAGAATGCACAAGCTAAAAATGAGTGTTACTATCAACTGCATCAAGTCTGTCAGGCATTTAAATTAAACTGATGTAGGATACACTGATTAACTGTAACAAAAAGCATCTTCTAGCATCAATCAGACTCATTCAGTTAGCTCCTAATTATCAATAAGGAACATTTCAGTCCAAGTTCTGTAAACCCCAAACACTCTGAAGATAAGCAAAAGGTGCTGATGTCACCTTATTTTCTTAAAGCAATCAATCCTCACCCCTAGGTTCATTGATTCCTTTTGTCACACTTTTCCCCTTCTCGTTTCGAACTCTTTCCTTAAGAAATAAACCCAGGCCTTGAAACCTTTAAGATGAAGTGATGTTTCCAAAAAGACATCTAAGGTTTTTGTGTTTTCCTCCTTCATGAGCAGGCAAAATGTTCTCCTACATCAACAAAAAAAGGTGTCTGTGTTTTTTTGGAATCAAACAACATAAGGCAATTAAATACTGAGAAGCAGTCACATGTATGATGAACATGAACCTTCCCATCAGTGATGTGGAAAAGGAGCTGAACTTGATCTGATTTATAACCCCCTGTCCTAGGCTGGGCCTGAGGATGTTCATCTCTTGTAGCAACGAAGCAAGCAGTTGTTGCCTCCACAGGTAGCATCTTGCCCATGTTCTTGTAGGTGGAAGAAAGATGCTAAGCAGCTGCTTGCTAAACTGAAGGCCATGAAAAATCATTTGGCTCTTCACTGTAACATCAAACCTAATTCATAGGTTTTTGGCCCCCAAATCCCAAATTGTACATCAGTCTGTTTTTGAAAGTTTACGTTTAACATGTCTGGGGGGTTCCCAAGTATCACTATCGTCCGTTTCTTCCTCGTCTTCCTGATCGTCCAGCATTTCGTCTTCCTCCTCGTTCTCATCAAACAGCTCTATTCCAAGATCTAATCTTCTTTGCCTCTCTGCAAACCACTCTCTGACCTGCTCATATCCCATGTGAGATTTGGCTACCAGTTCATCGAGGTCTTGCTCATTAAGGAATTTGTGCTTCATATAGTAGTCCTTCAGGATTGCTGTTCCAGTTTTAAATTTTATGACAGACACACCTCTGTCCCAGCAATTTAACCTCTTGCTTCCCCGAGGCCTCCCCCGAGGCCTCCCTCTCCCCCTCCCTTTTGGTCTTCCTCTCCCTCTCCTCCTGGAAAAACCTTGGCCGTTCAGACTGTTTGCACTGGCGCTCTGGTAATAGTAATACCATTTCAATCCACCATTTTTCCAGGCATAGCGAGTATCTCCAAACCAACTCACAATTTCCGATCTTGGAAGCCCAGTTTCTTCTGCCAGCTTGTTGTATTCTTGTGGAGATGGCCACTGAGTACGGACAAAGGAACTTTTGAGCATGTGCAACTGCTCTGGTGATTTTTTGCCTACTTTGCTCGAAGTGGAACACCCTGATTTTGTTCCTGCTGCTCCATCTCCCACAGATGTTTCTCCAGCCTCTTCTTTTGAGCTGCCAGCATTGCTTTCATTCAAGTCAGCTCCCTCTTCCTTCAAGACATTTGATTTCCTCTTTTCTGTAAACCAGGCATCAATCTCTCTCCTAGTCAGTTTGGTTTGGGCTCTTAACCTATTCATCTCTTCATCAGTGAGGACAGGGTTATTCAGAAAACTTGCTTGGAGGACTTGCAGTTGTTCAGCAGTCTTCTCTTTGAATTTCTGTGGGGTGAAATCAGGAAAAGCACTCCACGATGACTTGCTCTGTGGAGTGACTCCTGTTGGGGACTCATTCATTTCATCGCTTGAATCAATAACAATGGTGGCACATGAATCGCTGTTGAGGTGAATCCCATGATTATTCTTTGAGTTTCTCTGATTGTAGCGTGTATCACTGAACCACTTTTTGATCTCTCCTTTAGTCAAGCCTGTTATTTTCATAAGTCTAACAATCTCTGAGTCTTGAGGAAACTGATTTTTAAGGTAGCTGACTTTCAATTCTGCCAGTTGTTCCTTAGTTTTTTTTGCTCGGATGCCAAAGGAGTCAGGATTCATCACTGTGGATTCATTTTTGATGGGCTGAGGGGCTGGAACAGCAGCTACTTGTTTGGTTTCTGCAATAGGCTGAGCACTGTGAATCTGACTCTTCTGTAGCTGTGTTTGGTTTGGGACTCCCGCTACAGTCAAAGCTATTGGGGCTGTTACTGGTAACGTATTTGCACCTGCAACTTGAGTGAGAACAAGTCCTGGCTGACCAACTATTTGGCATGTCTGTAAAATGGAAGGTAAACCATTGCTAGCTGCAGAAATGTGTGCTGGAATAACGGTAATTGTCTGTGGCACAGTATGTACTGTGCCATTAAATTGTTTCCTCCTTGCTTCCTCCACTTCCTCTGGCGTCCAGCTCACACCGTGCTTCAGACGCTGGGCAGAAAACCATATTTTAATCTGTTCCTCTGTGTACTTGGCTTGAGTGGAAAGAACAGTGATTTCCGACATGGTTGGATATGGGAATTTGTTGTAGGTGTTAAGCAAAAGAGGATTGTTATCCAAAGCAGTATTATAGGCTGGAATGCTATTTACAGGTATTAGGACTTTCGGAATCAGGTTTGAGTTCTGTGGAGCTGTAACAGCTGTGATAACCTGTGCCACCCCAGGCTGAAGCACTGGTGCCGGGGTCACCACTGCACCGGCCACATCTGCTGCACTGCAAACAACTGAATGGCTTGGTTTTGACTCAGAAACTGCCGGTGGGGGGTTTTCTACTACTTCTTCAGAGTTTGGCTCATTTTCACTTCCCTTTTCTTCACCAGGAATGTCATCAACTACATTGTGGAAAACAGCGATACGTTTAGTCTCGGTTTTGTTTTTCATCATTTTCATGATAGGAGTTTTGCTAATTGAGATCCCTGATGACGGGACCTCAGAAGAGTCGGCCTGTCCAGCATTTTCTTCTCTAACAAAACTTCCATCAAAAGTGAGATCATTTACTGTTTGTTCAAAGATTGTCTGATTATTACGTTTTACCATGGTCAATTTAAAATTCTCCTCTCCAGGGTGGTGCTTCACATTATGTTCTGAGAGGGCATCATATCTTTTGGTAAGGAAATTACATTCTAAACAAACATAGGATGAATTTAACACTACGTTGGGATGTTCTGAATCCACATGAAAAGTAAACATATTGAGATCTGGAGTCTGAAAAGTACAGTATTTACACTCATAACCACCTTCTACTTTATTTGTATTTTTCTGATTGTCTGAATCCACATACTCATGAACATCCTCATCACTTGTTACACTCTCTGCTGTAGGGTTTTCTGCTGGCGTGAGCACAGGTTGTCCTTCCTCCAGGTCCGATACCATTTCCAGATCCGGGTCCTGCTCATTGGCTAAGACCATGCACGGTGTTGTTGATTTTCGTTTACTTGCCATGACTGTTACTGTGAAAATGAGACCAACTGGTTAGATACAGACTCAGCTTCAAGCTCTTCTTGATTGATAATAATAGTAATAATGGCTTTCGGTACTTTAAGTCAGTTCTTGTAAAGTCTCAACATTTATCCTGTTAGCAGCTTTTCCTTTGTAGTGCAATCAGATTTAAAATAGATAGTTGAGGATGAGATGTTGAGACACGCTGTTTTAAAGTCCACATCCACCACCTGTAGCAAAGAAGAGACAGTGAAATTAGTTCAATTTAAAGAGTAACTTCTATTCTGCTACATATTATGGCTTAACCTTATTCAGTCCTTTGAGGTTCCATTGTTATCCCCTGAAACCAGCAGACCCATTCCAAGAAGAGATAATCGAAGCTAAGAAAGGCAAAATCCAATCAGCTTATTACAGGCTGAAATTTGTTTCAGTTCATGTAAACACAGTGAAAGAACATAAACAACACAATGGTATAAAAAACAGGTAACTTCCTGACTGTTTCCCTTTCTTCAGAAGCCTTTTTCTTGGCACAGTGCTGGGGTCACTCTTGCCTTTGGATGCTTTGCCTAACCTATTACAACCTCTCTCCACAGCTCTGTGAGCTGAAGTTCTTCCTATCATTAAACTTGAGCCCACTATGACATCTCCACTACCAACTCTGTCATGTCCTTCATGTCAGAGGCTCTGAGGGGTCCCAGAAAAGGCAGGTTTAGAGTGTTTTATTACTGCATTATACATGCAAGCATGACCATGTGCAGGGCCTTTCTCCCACATCTGAAAACAGGCAAAACTATCTTTTTAAGGCACTCTGACAGACAACTATCCTTTCTTCCTAGCCTCCCAAATATCATTCTCCAATTGAAGACCAATCCCAATCCAATAAACGTTGATTGCTAGCACATGGCACTTAGCTAAAATCTGTTTCCATGCCTCTATGCATTAACGGAGAGATGACTGATTGTGTGAACGTACCAGAGAGAAAGAGCATTAAAGACTGATACACCAAGCAGAAGCCAAACAAAATTACATATTCTCTGCTTGGAATTCTTTGTGCATTTCTAAGAAAAACTGAAGTACCACCAAATAAAGCTGAGGCTTACAGAAATTCAAAGAATATATTCTTAAATTAGCATAGACTGGAGTGAATTTTATCCCACAGAGACCACAACTAGTCTGCTGGAAATTATGCACAAACTTCTGCAGAGGGTTATAAACTCTGTAATAGTTTTCTTCTTGAATTAAAATCTGATACTGATTTCTCATACCAAAAATCCCATAGGCACAAGAACTTTGAGACAGTGGAACATCTTCTACTTCCCTAAGTGGGGGTATCCTCAAGTCCAAGAGGAATGCATCCCCAAGTAGCTGTTTCAGAAAGTTTTGAAAGGGAACAGCATGTAACAGGTTAAAAAATGAGGGCCATCTTTGCAAAACAAAGTCTTAAAGGAAAAAGAACAGTGTAAAAGGAAGAAAGGCAGTTACAAGAAATGGGAAGGGGAAAAGAAATATTATTTTTCACTGTATGATGATTCTTTTTTGATTATGGGAAGGCAGAATAGGAAGGAAGATCAATAATTCTTAGCTTCACATTTTATTTCAGGCAAAAGACAAAAGTTATCATCCATACACGCCACCAGAGCTGCTCATAAGCTCTGTTTTTGAAACTGGATGTCTCATCTCACTTCTTCAGAAATATCTTTCCCAAATGTTTCTGTCACCCTCTGCACTACTTCTGTGACTACATCCACAGCCTCACATGATACACTTTTTTATGCCAAAGATATGGTTAAACGGCATTAAGGACACTGACAACGCTCAATAAATCTTGGGTAATCATCATTCCAGTAGAAAGATACCCTTCTTCCACAAGTTAATAGTGGCAGTCTGTAAAACTGAGCACAGAAGTGCAAAAGCTATTTAATATATATACAAAATACATATTGCAGGCGATCTCATTTCTCTCAGCAGTGAGAGAACCATGAAGCAAAGCTAAATGGATCCATTTGTCTCAGTGTCTTGAGGGATGAGAGGTAGAGCATTATTAACCGTGCTGCTTCTCTGTGGGGCTGGAGGGCTCTTGACAAAAGAAAGACAACTGCCAAGACCATGTTGAGCAATGCTCTGGGGGAAGAGCTGGGTGGTATTACCTAATCGTTCTGTGATCTTGAGTGAAATTTCAGAAATGCCAGAAATGCCCATTTTCAAAAGTGACTGCACAGCTAGTTTTGCTGACTGAAGTTGCATTTTAAGAGGGGACTGTGGTACTCTGCAGTGCCTCCTCCCAGGACAGCATGTAGGATCTACACACGGGGCAGCCTGAGTGAGCTCAGGGGCTTGCCAAGGGTCCTGCTCTGGGATGGCCCTGAGTGCAAGTGAAAGCAACATTTGACCTGATGTGCAGCGTTGAGCCACGCTCAAGATAAGGCTGGAGATAAGGAATAAAATGGGAAACCTGTCCAAAAAAATCAATAAATGTTTTTCTCCAGTCCCCTCCTGTACCCAATGGCATTCACAGTGGCTGTAAGCCTACAGGTCCACGTGCAATTACATCACCTGCAGCCTTTCAGCTAAATCTCTGTATCACATTTCTGTTGTGGCTCAGTTTTGCTCACAGTTCATAGGCAAATTATCCTATCCCTCTACTGTTTACCAACAGAGCAACACGTTTCTTTGATGCAAGCGGGTCTCAGAAAAAGAAAGCTGCATCTGTGCTCTTCTGATTACGCTATGTAAGATGAGGGGGTTTTTTTAAAGGATGTTGTGATGTCAAAACCCTGTTTAATTCATGGCTATGAAGTGGTACAACAGCATTCACTAAAATCTCAACAAAGTGAGATGCTTGCAACCCTTCCCAGCCTTCCTTCCTCTACAGACTTTACAGAAACCTCCATTCCCTTCTCCCTGGTGCTTATGTGATTATTCCACCTGTAGCACCTTGCCTGACATGTTCTCTCAGTTAAGCAGGGGATTACGAAAACTCACACTTGAGTAGTTTATCAAACCAATTATGCATCACCCTTGGAACGTGTAGTTCCTCTAAAACACCCCTCCTGTACTGCTTACAGGAATGTCACTTGGGACCTTGCCATGTATCTTGATTTCAGTAAGGTTTGCAACATTCCATTCCAGTAGGCAAATGACTCCAAAAAAAAAATTAAATCAGATTGGCTTGACATAATGGGGTTTTGACAAATCCACCTTTGTAAGAACCTTGTTACAATTCTTTAGGTTCTTACAGACTGTTTTTTAATAAATTCTTCCTGTGTTGGCCTGGGAATGAAGACCCCGTTAACCAATCGGTGATGCACTATATGCTCTCCTCCTCTACTCAAGTGTCTCCCTTGTTTAAGAGTAGGTACTATGATACTATGCTTGCCTGTCTTGAGTCTGTTAAGACCTCCTCCTCTTTTCCATGAATTCCTGAAGATCATCACTAATAGTTCAGAGATTGTGTTCTCTTGTCCCTTACATATATTAGGGTCCAAGATGTGATTTAATATTGTTAAAGATTTTCTATTTTGATCTGGACTGTATTTTTATCCCTCGCTGTTAATATTAACATTATATTGTGCAATTTGGTTTGTAATAAAATATTAAGCAAGGTGTTTGCTTTATGTCAAAAGCAGAATTTTTTTAATAAAAGAATGTGAAGAAAAACTTAAATTATTTACACTCTTAATTTCTCAAGATGCTTGTCACTGCAATCTCCTTCTTTAATTTCACCTCAGATTTTCACAGAGTTGATATTCCTAGCAAATCAGCCCACAAAACAGACATTTTTCTAGGAATATAAAAACAGTAAGTGCAGGTATAGGTCCAGGATCTGATATTTTATCTTTCAGCAGGAAATTGGTCAGGACACGGTTCCTCAGAAATAGTTAGCAATCCCGATTAATAAATAATTATATGAAGACAGAATAATTCCAGAGTGGAATTCAGCATTTAAAGTTGTCTCTATAGCAGTTTTAGATGGAGACTTACATAAATATTTTCTAAATGGGGGCAGAAACCTTCTACCCATTTGATTATAGTTTGAGAACAAAAAGACAGAGTTGACAGTGGAAGACACGTAAGGCACCTGTTTCCAGCACAATTTTTTTACTCACTTCTTCCTTCCTTCCCGCAAACAGCAGCAGCTGATGCAGCAAGAAAATAAATGAGTTTACAGAAAACGCTGCGTGTTCAGGGTGTATGGTTTACGAAAAGGCATTGCTACCTGCCTGCTGTACAACACTTCCATCCAGCATGCAGGAAGAGCATGCCAACAAAAAATCCAAGCCCATGTAAGTGATTTTAAGAACATACACAGAGTGGCTCAGGAGAAGATGAAGCAATAGAAACTGCTTCTAACTTTTAAATCCAACTAGATTACAAATTGCCTATGACCTCTCTCAACACAGAAAATGTTGCCTTCTCCTTATAACCCACGACAATGTGCAGTTGTTGATCCTTTGTTTAGCCTCCTTCTACTACCATTTATTCAGAGTACATGTATCTATGTCAGAAACTATTCTGCAAAGAGCTCAAATAGGCTAATATGCTCTGATTTGTGCTGCCTCTCAGCGAGAAGGGTGAAGAACTTTGTTATACAGTGCCATTTTCTTCAGTTGTTCATTATCTGCCAAGTTCAGAGGGTTACTGCTCATGACTACGAAACAAAGACACATCTCTATATAAATCCTGCAATATTCTCATTTGATTCCCATTTTAAAATACGGTCTGGTACTAATTCAACACCGGAGCAAAACTTGTCACACTGATTTCAGCAGGACTTCACATGTGCTACAAAGATAAGGGCATACTTGGGGGCTTTGCCCCAATACAATTGGTAATGAGGGAGGTGAGTACCAAAAGCAACTGTGCTGCCCAGGCAGAGCTTCAGTGTGTGCCAAAGCCAGCCCCATGATGGACACAAAGCTCAGCAGAGGCTGAAGGGAGCCTGCCACAGGACATGTGACTAGGCTTTCTCAGCTACTTCCTCTCAACACTGGTTTAATGGGTAACAAGCAGGTTCCATCAAAGTAAATTTCAGAATTTCATGCCAGAAGTGACCACTAAATGACCTAGATTATCTTTCTCTTCCAAAATACACTCCAGCTACCTTTACAGTGAGCACAGTAACTTCCGCCACTGCTTTTGATACAGAAGGCCATTACCAGATTTTATATCTCATCATGTATATCATGATCAAATGTCCCACTTAACAGTCATGGGTGCACTGATGAAGACT